TTAAAAACGATGTAAAAGCACAGATACAAATCAAACATTCATAAAAATATAAATTGTTTTGTTTTGTCTCTAAATAAAAATATAATATAAACCACTAAAAAATTAAAGCAGTGAATGCAAGCCAAGCACATATCTACTGAAATCATATTAATAATTCATGTTCCAGTGATTCATAAATCAGTTCCACCTTTCAATAAATTTGATGAGTGCACCCACTGGAAGGTTTTCTTCTTTAAAAATATGAATATGATCTGCCTTTAATATATATAAATGGTGAAATCCAGGCTATGTCAGGCCCCCCAAAATAAAGACAAGTAGAGATACTTTTAAGCAGTTTTCTCTATTGGGGAAAGATTCTTCCTTACCTATAGTCAGACATCTTTCCAAACTAAAGCAATGGCTTGAATCATAAAAGGTATACTCTGAGAAGTTCTAGGGAGGAGCTGTCTTGACTCTCATTCTCCCAAGCAGACTATCTAAATTTTGCTATCTCTTGGTTTTCTGGAATGCAGCTCCCCCTCGTGAGAATCCAGACTACACTCCATCATAGGCTGGCTGTTCTGTGGCCAGAAGGGCTTGCTCAGTGAAAGGAGGAGGAGCAGGAGGAAGAGGAGGAGGAGATTATTTTTGTACAATGCTCCTTGCAGCCCACTGCTCCTAAGGGCTCACCCCAGTTTTGCAGACAAATGTCTGAGGAATCAAAGGAGTCTGTAAGATGAAGTTTTTGCAAAAGTCATAGCTGAAGCCCTCGCTTCAGTGTCAGCACAACATCACTAAATGCTTTAAAACAAAAACATCCTGATATATCAAAAACAAAAGATCTGTAATCTTCAGATCATTCTCCTATTTTCAGTAAAGCTAACACAATCTTTCTTCAAATGTTGACATGTCTATCTGATTGCATTACTTCAATTTTATTTTAGAAATCATTGGGTAGATATACCAGACTGGAGGTGCAAAAGGCTAGATGGCAGCAAAGGGTTAGGGTGGTTTGTGCAGTTCCTGGTACTTTCTAAGCTTGGTTGTTTGCTTGCAGATATTTCATTACCCAACTAAGCAACACCTTCAATTAAGAGTTTTTTTATTTTTACTGACATTTAGTAATCCTGTGGGTCTTTGCGGCCCAGGTCTGGTAGCTCCAACTTTACAAGCTCTCCTGCACTTGGGTGTTGGCAATGCTTTTATGATATTCTTTATAAAGGGATAAACAGATCCATGTCCTTCTATTGTATGACTAACATCAACATTAGTTAAACTTTACAAGGTAAAGCAGATATTTTGACTAAAATGTATCTACTTGCAACAACAGTTTTCAACCTTTCAATTGAGCAACTCCATTCATGTTACCTGCCTAACTACAGCTAACTGTGGGTTGTCCGAGCCAGTTACTTTGTTTGGAAAACATACTGAACCATAAATTGATAATAGAGTTTGAAGAACTTTAAGCCTAAAGTCTGGTTGGCTACCTGGTGGCCCAATGTTAGTGGATCAATGTGCCTGTTATATTCAGAATTGTATGCTATTACATTTATCATATTGTTTTATGAAAATGAAAGCAATTTCACAACTGTATTACACACTAATAATAAATACTGTCATTTGCTAAAACATCATTCTTCAACTTGATTCCCTGCTGCATACTTTTGCATAGATCTTCTCATCTTGAGCCAGTATGATAATTGCTAAGTGAAAATTGGTCACCAATTGTCAAGTGTTTTATTTAACAGGAAATTCATAATAAAAAACCCCATCCATTCTGTTCTGTTAAAACATAGTTGCAGCAACCATCCAAACCAACATGACTGATAAAAAATGTTGCAAGGAGATAGGGGAGAGTAAGGAGACAATTACCTACTTCCCTCATTTCTATCTCTTTGCAAGCTATTTTACAAGTTGGCCACTGTGACAGAGATAAATTCAAGATCACCTTTATTCTAGTATAAATTATATGTGTACATTTTTAGTATGATATAAAGGTACAACATGGATACCTGCATCATGAATAATTAAAATATAATTTTTGCTGCTTTTAATCATACTTATTTCTTATATGGCACTGTAACTTATGGTGACTCATACTAAAGAAAGTTAAACTAAATATGACATACGCAGTATTGTAACAGCTTTTAAAATGTATTTAGTGAACTGAATATCTTTACTTTCATATGGTAAATTTTTCACTGTAATGTAAGCTGAGACTTTGCAAAATGGAAAGAAAATACAATGTAACAAAGCACCTTCTGAAAATGTTTAACATTCAGATAGTGAGGAAATGCAGTAATTAAGAAATATTACCTGGTTTGAGCGTGTCAGCCTCAATAGATTTGGAAATTCGTCCCTAATCTCATCTACAATTTCCAAGATGGCTCTCTGTATAACCCCAGCTGAATTGAAATACAATAATTAAAATAATAAAATCCTGATCTTCAAAATTAGATTTCAAATATGAAGTGTTGTATATTTGTAAAAAAAAATGGGTTAAATGAGATATAAAGTAGGGCTAAGGACTGAGTTGGTATCAATATTTGATTACTGTAGTGGGAAACCCATGTTATTTTGCTAAACTAGCATTGGAAACCAAAATGCCCTTCAGATTTTGTTAGGCCACATTCATGAACACAAGATCCTTCCCAATCTGAACCATATTCTGAAGACTATATGGTGACTGCCCAGTACCAATATTCCTTCCTTTTCTTCTTCATTGTACAGTGACCCAGTCCCAGGAAAGTCTATTCCCATTTTGAGGGCCCTAGAAGGACCCCTCCAACCTTATGATTCTATGATTCTCCCTCTTAAAGAGATTCTCTTTTAAGAATCTTGATTAGCAGTAATTTGGAGAAATAAAAAACCTGTTGCCATCAAGAGTTGGTTAAATGGTGGTATGGCTTAAGGACAACTTCTTATATGTATAAATTTTATTTATAGTCAATTTTTAGTCAGGTTGACCAGGTATGCCTCCTAACTGTTTTCAAGAGGTTAATACTTTGGCAGGACCACGGAACTTCATTACTAACTTCCTTTACTGTTGACTAAAATTGCAAGGGCAACTGGAGGGAATTAGATTTCAGAAATTTCTGTAAGGAAAAATATTGTGGGAATTTAGCTCATATCTCACATATTTCTAAACGTAGAGGCAGTTTACTGAAATTTCTCGCTCAATGACATTTCTCTTCGAGTTTGGTTACCTTAGCCAAATTCAACAATTATGTATTTGTGAATGTGTGTATTTGGTAGAAGCTGGATTTCTTTTAAAAATTTGAAAATTTAAGATGAAAATATTCTTAGATTTCATACCTTGTCCAGCAAATTTCCTGACAATCTCCCCACATATCCAGCCAATTGGCCTAAGAGCCATTTTTTTGATGCTTGCTACTACTACTTAAGTTAGAGGATGGTGTCTTCCAATCAAGTGGATGGTTCAAGCTACAAATGACAGCATCCCATACATATGCATATCTCTACGTTCAAGGCAGGAGACCTTTATGAGAACATAATGTACCTCTCAAACACAGTGCAACCTGGGGCAATCAGTGTGTCTCATGTATACCAAATTAGCCTCATTTTAACAGACAGGACTTTCAAATAGTTCCAATATACTGGAATGAAGGAATGTATGAGATAACCTGAAAACTGGGACAACCTCAGCAGATTTATAATCATTAGCAGAGTCAAACCTAAAATTCAAACCAATGGGGATTGGGGTGCAAGATTTCTGGGTTATACAAAATTCAGGACAAATAAATGCTCCAAATTTCATACTCTTGAATTTTAAAATGCAAGCTTCTATTTCTCAAGATTTCTCAAGATTTCTCAAGATCAGACTGAAGATTTCCTGATTTCCATCCCATTTTGTATAAAAATATTTTGATTTTAGAATCACCCAAAATATATTTTCATAATTAATTCTCTTTCCTACATTTCTTCGTTGTATCCTCTATTTGTGATTGTCTTCACATGAGATTACAGTCTCTCAAGCATTACATTATGTGCAGATTAGTTATTGTAATAACTAATAATATTGTAATAAAAGTTTGAAATACATGTTATTTTCAGAGAAATATATAGTTGAAAAGCTCATATAATTCTGAGCTATACATTAAATATCTTAGATCTGAAGGGCAAATAGAAAAAGTATCTATGGAGATTTTCAATGTTACAAAAATAATAACAATCATTAATGACTGGTATAGCACACTGCATTATATAATACACCAATACTATATCTGATTATTCTCATTTAGATGAAGTAATTTCAGCAAGCAAATATAAAAGGAAAAAATCACTTTATTTTAATATCTTCTTTTCACATGAGAAAACATATTTGCACAGCTTTCCATGTCACCTCAACATTTTATTTTTTAAAATCATTGTGCATTGGCTTTTTCAAATAAAAATACATCTAATAAATAATTTACATAGCAGTTTACTTTTGCTGGTTTTTGGAATTTCAACTTTTTATACTCTTTAGCAAATGTTGATTTATTAGGCATGTAGAGCTCTAGAAAATCAATAAAATTAATTGAAAATATTGGTATATTTTTAATTTTTGTTAAAAAAGAGAAGTTACAGAATATAATGAACAAAGATTTAAGTATTATGTCATTAAAACTGCTTTAAGATTTAAAGTGTTCATTTTGAACAATTTTGAACAGCTTTGTTGTGCAACTTAATCTACTATTACTCTTCATAGTAATATATGCATTATTTAAATATCAGCTGTTTTTGAATCGTTATATAGTCAGTTCAAAATATGTTAATGCTATTTAAGTTGTCTTTCTTCTAAGACTTCAAATATATCATCTAGTGTGCTCTGAAGACATGTCAGATGTTCATCTAACTCCTGTTCCAAATAGCTAGTAATGAGGCATCCTATCCAGGTATCAAACATATTATATCCAATCCCAAAACCATTTGGCACTACTGGTCCAAATCCACCATGATTAATTGCTGGAGTGCTTAGTGTACTGGTTGAAATGTTAATGTGGTTTATGTTTTTATAGGCTGGATCTGTATAAATATCAGGAATAGTTCCACCTCTGCGCTGAACAAGGTACTTCAAAGCAAATAAGTGGCGATCAAATCCTTGACCTGGATAAAAAAGAGGCAGATTCATTGAATATAAAGAGTAGGATATTTATACTATGAACACATTATAGGTATGTGCAGAACATGATGAAATCAAGCACCATCTAACCATATACATATTTACTCTGAAGACCCATCAATACCAATAAACTCTGAACACAATTAACATTTCTTGCATTGAAGTCATGGAATTCAGAGTGCTTCATGTTTGGTCGACTGTGGAATCTGACTAAGTTTGTTCCTTTATATTGTTTCTTATTTCCAATAGCTATGCAAGAAAACAACTTCTCCTACTTTATCATGTTAAAATATAAATATTATAACTCTCCAAAAAGAGAATGAATAGTTTTACAGTGCACTTGAATTAATTTGTATGCTTTTGCTTAAGTTGTTGCATGAATCTAGCCATTGGCTTTCTATAATTTGGGGTATGATTTAATGTGTGATATATAAATCCAAATATCTGTGACTTATATAATAAATTGAAGTTAAGCATTGCATTATCAGTACAGTGACTCTGCTTTCTGCTTTTAGTATTTTATGTTATTAATTTACCTAAATTTTTCTCCCAAACCTTTTCCTCATTCTGGTCTCTATTTACTTTTTCATCTTCCCTGTTATACATTATTTCCATATTATTTAAAATATAAAATAGCTATTTTATAAATGACAATAAAATTTATCTGAAAACTTCAGAATTTTTCATGGGATCCTAATTGGCAATGACATACACAGAGACACACACACACAAACACTAGTGTAAATTTTGTCAGAAGGAATACAGGATGCTTATGAAAATATCTTTTTGTCCATTTTTCACCAAACATTCAAAAACCAACTATAAAAATGAATGGCGACATGAATTTTAGCTGCTTACCTGTAACTATGGTTGTTTGAGTGACCATCTGTCCAACAAATACATGGGTTCTGTGCCTGCATCAAGCTCAACCAGAAATCTTCTGTAGGTGGGATTTCTGGCAGAAAGTGTATCCCTACTGTGCATGCTCCTAGAAGAAACTCCTGCATTTCCCTCAGTTCTCAAGAGATTGTCATTTCAGTTCAGAAATCAGGAATACCTACCAAGGCAGGCACCTGTAGCAAGGAAAATGGTGGCTCAGTAAATTGTGGCATGGATGACAAGACAAAGAACTATAGTTACAGTTAAGCAATCTATTCTTCATCATAGTCTCTGGGCACCCCATATATGGATAATAAGTAAGAGAATCTTGAAGGCTGTGGGTCAAGTGCTACAGTTTAGAGAGTAGAGGATAATTCTGCTTTGCCACAACTGGCATTTACTCTTGCCAAAGGTCTACTTGGTAGCGTCTTACAAATGTCAACTGTTCGGACCAAATAGTTTCTTTATAGAGGTCCAACCAAATCCCACAAAAAGAACTCTATAAATTGATGTTGGCATTTCTCACATCATAGAGAAGCAGCAGATGGTATGAGATAAACCAACCAATATAAAGCAATGAGGGGTTTATACCAGATTGCATAATATCATAAAGAAAAAATTAAAGGCAGAGAAGAATGGAACTCCTTGATGTTGTCTAAACAAAATGTCATAGATTACTGCATATCTAGTGAAAGAAGAATGCTCTTGGGATGGAGAGAAGATTGCAATAAGAGTGCATTAATAGCTTATTTAAAAGGTAACTCCAACTCACCTTTGGAAAAGAAAATCCAGTCCATTTGTAGTATCATCTGATCAAGATGTAATTACAGAAATGAAGGGGATCTGCTTTAAGAACATACAACTCATGACTAAGCTAACATAATCATTACAAAGAAACCTAATTTAAGGAGATATTGATGTATGGTGGCCAATGGCTGAATGGCTTCCTTGTGAATTAGAAATGTATGATGGAAAAATTCCATCGTGACACTGACTCTCTGGGAGACATAAGATGAAGCATTAGGCCATTTCTGACATGTAAGAAGTGTTTAAAAAGTCATAATATGTTTACAAGAAATTCCATCACATCCTTTTAATGTCTTGTTCATAGAACTCCCAAATGAAGATAACAAACACAAGGATCATGCATCTTCCCATATTCAAAATCAAGAGAATATGTAATTGTAAGAGTTGAAGATAGAGACCCTGAAATAAATTTAATAGAGTAAGAAACAAAAGCCAGAGGATCTTTTTGTTGCTAGAATCTGAAAACATTTTAGTGAAGTACATCAAAAGATAACTGTGATGATCTTTAGAATTCAATAAAGGTAGGATTTCATCCCATCTCTAAAAAAAGACATTTTCCCTTGACTACAATGGCAATCACAGTAAACATTCAGAGCTATTGTAAATAATTTTATTCTAGGTGTTTCCCTATCAACTGAACTTTGTTCACTGGAGTAGGATGGAGGCAGTTGGCTGAAAACTAATGATATTTGGGAGAGAGCTTTCATCATCATAGAACAGATACTTTGCTTTAAAAAACAATGTACAAACCTACTCAGTATTTGCTTCCAAAGTCTAGTATGATATACAACCAATATGGTTGATACCATGAATCTGAGTAAGCACTGAATAGCAGAAGCCAAATCTGAGAATGTTGACCTATGCTATGAATAAAAGATAAAAGAAAATGGTGACTCTAGAAAGTGCATACTACCTGATAATCCAACTGGATGCCAATATATACTGTCAAATTAAAGAAGGGATCAGAAAGGCTTTGCTGTATAAACTGTATAAACCAGTCTATTTTCACTGAGTACATTGGACCTATTTGTTTGTTTAATAATAGATGAGATAATGAAGCTATAAGCCAGTGATCAATGTAAATTTGAGTGCCCAAGAAGTGGAGATGTGCCACCACTCTGCATTTGCTGGAGAGCATCTGAAACTGGAGAGACGTGCTCCGCAGTGTAAGGCAAATACTTCTAGCGATATGAGTGAAAGACTAGATGGAAGCAAACATCTTTATTATATCTATGATCTACAATGCAAATAAATCTCTTAGATAGGAAAGGAGAAAATTGTTTTACAAACTCATTTGCCTAAATTTTAAAGCTTGAATTTATCTGGAGACCATAAAGATGTAGTATTGTTTCTCTCTTTTTGGCTTTGCTACCAAGTAATAAAAATTAGTCTTGATGGGATGGTAGAAGGCTTGATTAGAACTGGAGTTTTTTCCTACAAAATAACAATCAGCATTGTTTGACTGGCAGGAGAGTGTGACACATCTTTGCATGGTCCCTGCTGTTGGATAATTACAGTCACTCTAGTCAATACTGAAACATCCAATGTAATAGTCTGTAAGGCTTTAGAAAATGAGGCAGCCTGAAATGAGAGCGTCATCTGATATAATCATTATGTTAAAATATATGTTAAAATATGTTTTTAAATCCTTTGTAATATGCTGTGTGTCCTGGCACACTAGGCCTTCTAGTCAGTTTTGAACCTCCTGTGAAAACTCTGTGATAGCCAAGTACAGATTCAAAGTTGAATAATCTCTATCAAGAATGTAGAGACGCAGTCAAGACGTGCAGTACTTATCAATACTTATTTGTTGCTTGGAAAGCTGCAGTCTCTGAGAGTAAAATGATACCTAGCTCCTTTTTGTGGTATGCTAAATAAGAGAGAAAAGAAACTATTTTCTCTGAGAGAAAACTTAGCATGCTTGATCACTTGGAATCCAACTTTATTTCTTTGGAAGCTGGATTTGTTGCAAATCCTTAGCTCAATGGAAAAAGTCTGATAGGACTGATGTTGTCCTATGTATATAAGCTTCAGATGAACAAACATTTCAGAGTGTCAGCCTGAAAAGCTGGCTGTGAAACCAAGGGCTTTGTGCATAGGAAACATACAAAGAATCAGTGGAGATTCTATGAAATAAATCTAATTCAGTTGGTACCACAAAATAAGACAGATGGCGTTCTGGGGATTAGGCTTTCTGAATGCAGCTACTAGTTATCTTGAATAGATGGCTGTGTTAGGGCAAAGATTGTCAGGTTTATAATGGGTGATTTGTTCAGATGACCACCTCAGTTTATCCAAAAGGACTACTTCAAGCCTAGCGAGGTTCTGTACCCTTGAAATGATCTACAGTGGCAAATGGAACTGGTAAAAAGGATCAGCCAATACTGTATTACTTGGGCCTATTTTATCCCTTAGCAAAGGTAGTTTTTGTCAGCTTAGACACTAGCAGTTGGCTCGACTTACTGATGTCAAGATAGAAAGGAAAAAGCACAGTAACAATAACAGTAATAGTAACATTTGATTTGCTTTTCTCTGAAAAGAAATAGCTTGTATCAGTGAAGCTTATTACTCCATTTAAATAATGATGTTCTTTCCATTTGCTCCTTGTTTCCCTTAAATTCCAAAAGGGAAGGGGAGGAAGCAAAATTTCTTAGTTCTGGCAATGTTTACCCAATTAGGAGTGCTTTGGGCCCCCTGAGAGGGATTGGTGGACAAATTTTTGTTACCTTTGGCCTAGGAGCATGAACTGTATGGATTCACTTCTTGCTAAAATCTCAGTTAAAGAAGGTTCCAGATAGAGTTTCAGTGCAAATGCAGAACACCTATGCCTTTTGCACAGAGACCACAATAATGAAGAACTAGTATTATTGTGACATGATATACACAGTATAGAAAAGAAAAAGGAATATTGAATTAGGTTTTCAATTAATTTTTAATTAATTAGTCAGCGATTAATATATTGTTTAAGAATTAGAGGTAATTCTTGCTCAACAATGGTAATTGGAACTGGAATTTCTGTCGCTAAATAACTGTAAAGTGTTATGTTACAATTTTAGGGCGTGTCAGATTTGTCAACTTTCAAATTCCAAATATTAGGGGAGCTCAAAAGTTGTGACATGCCTTGGGATTGTAAAGATATTTTGGTTACTTTAATATAATTTAGAGGTGCTTGGTAAGTACATAAATATCATAACTTTTTAACATTTTGTTTCATTTGTTACATGACTATGCTGCTTAGTTATGGTAGTTCCACCAGTCCCTAGTTGCCCTTATTAAGTGAATCACTGTGGGTCATTTAAGTGAGGACCTCATGTGATTGCAACTTCAACTTCCTG